AGACAAATTAAGTGAGGTTTATTGACAGAGAAAATAATATAGATGGTAAGATTAGTGAGATAATTCACTGATGAGTGATACAATTTTACCCTTCCCTTCCTTTCCTTACCTCTGCTATTTTATATCTTCAGAACTTAAAGTAGATTTTTCCTACTACTCTATGAAACACACTTGTTAAATATATGGTTGACCCTTGAACAACATAGAGGTTAAGGTTGCCAACCCCCACACAGTCAAAATCCACGTGTAACACTTTGACTCCCCCAAAATTTAATTACTTAATAGTATACTGTTGACTGGAAGCTTTACTGATAATATAAACAGTCGATTAACACATATCTTATATTTTATATGTATTATATACTGTATTCTTACAATTAAGCTGGAGAAAAGTTATTAAGAAAGTAATAAAGAAAATACATTTATAGTACTGTACTATATTTATTTAAAAAATCCATTTTAAGTGGATCTGCACAGTTCACATCCATGTTGTTCAAAGGTTAACTCTATTTAGTTCTCCCCCAAGCCAATTAAGAGATCTAGACTTGTGAGTCTACTGACATGCCCAACCCATTAGATATCCATCATTTAAAAAAAAATTCTTATTTTGGTAATGTTATAACCCAAAGAGTTGGTTCTACCAACATCTCCCACCAGTTTTCCAATTGAAAAAAAAATACTTAAAATAAAAGTTTAAAAAGAACTGGAGAAAAAAATCTAATAGGTGCTATAATAATAAAAGCACAGCAACTATGCCTAGTTTATTAAATTTAAATGAAAGAACAATTCAAGGATGTTTTTCTGGTATATGATAAACACAAACTCGACTAATGGATTAACATTCCAAATTATATTCTTCAAATGCAATATATAATGTCCTATGAATGATGTCCTTGACTATCATTCAAGGACATCACCAGTGACAATCACCAGTTGAACACGACTTCTAGAAGAGGATGATTATGTGAATCCCATATTCTATAATGAGAGAGGGGACTCTAACTGGAGTAGTTATAATATTAATTGTGTGTGTGAAGTTCAAGAATAATCACTCATTCATTAAACAAGTACTTATTACACATGTACTCTGCTAGGTGCTAACCCTAAATTGGTTAGCAAAATATACATGGCCATTACCCTCAAGTGATTTCAGAGTATATAGGGAAAGTAATACTTCTAGGTAAGCAAAAGGTTGGAAGAATTACAGTGTTTGAGCATTATATCACAAATACCCCTTGACAGGGAATTGAGATAATAAAGAAAATCAGCTTTTTTTTTTCATAATTAGTTGGGAGAATGTAATTAACATCTATAAGGGGTTATGATGTTAGAACACATCCAAACATAACAGAGAGAATAAAAGATGTAGAAATTCCATAGCTTCCCTAATGAAGAAGTGACTTCATCAGAAAGGATAGAAACTATAAATGTTGTGGTGTAGCCTGAAAATTTAACCTGTGGCTATAAAGGATATTCTGGAAAACTAGTGGATTGAAATTAACTAAAAAAGACACTTCAAGGAAAAACATCAGACCTCACAAGAAAACTAAAACTCTATAAGGGAGAAAGAAAGAAGAGCAGACCAGTAAGTATTTGATGACTTCAGAGGGATCACAAGGCCACAACAGTGGAGCAAGGGAAACTAAAAACTTAAGAAAAATTCATAGAACCTTTGTTAACACAACTGTGGGCTGTTGAGGGGCTATGAAAAGCAAAGGATTTTACTGTGTTTATGATACCATCTCTTTGATAAACTCCTCCTAAGTGGAATTTACTCAGTTGTTTATATTGAGGTTGTGGATGCAAATGTAATCTGAACAAAAAAAATATTTCCCTTTGTGTATCTCGTCATAAAGGATGTAAAAATGCTCTGCTTATAAGTTAGTTCCACAAAATAATTATAGATATCTTGTCTCATTAGATCTAACTAGTTTTTCCTATGTATCAAAAGAGTAGGCAACCAATAAAAACTTAGTCAACTGAAGAAAAAAGACTCATTCCTAGAATGGAAAATATTAATAAATTGTCTTTAGGGTTTTATCAATTGTGGCTGCTCAAAAATTATTAAGCAATTATTTATTTGTTCATTCTTATTTTCAAGGTATACTTATTTATGAGAAACACTTCCTAAATTGCTTACCTGCTGGTATATGTTTGAGCACTACTTTCTGACCTCGATCTAAATAAAAATAAAAGATAAAAATAATGTCTAACAGTTATATTAAGAAACTTGCCTACATTAAGAATGAAGATCAGGCCATTTTACACCAAAACTAACCCTTTTAATACTTGGGACATGCAAAAAAGTAATATTTTTATTTACCCAACACCAAGTGCAACATATACTGCAAAATTTAAATTCTCCAGTGAGGAAAATATCTAGGTAGCTTTTTTTTCTTTATTACTTCTAAGCACAATATGTAAGTTTGATGATGAATGCCTGAATTTGGCTGTCAGGCTCCAAGCTAGCTTTTTAAATTCATTGATACGTAAACTGCCACATTTTGCAAATTAAAACACATTTATTTACTTCTGAGCAATCTATCAGAGTGAAATGACAGGAAAAACTTCCCCTTTCTATTCCATAAGTAAAGCTTTTCCTTTCCATTCCACAGAAAAGCTGAAGAAAATAACACAAAAATCTAATACCCAATGGAGGTTGACAGCCAGAAGGGCTTTTCCTTCTGTCAGTAAAAAATGAAGAAACTAGAAGTTCAGAGGGAAAACAGGAGCAAAAGCTGAATGACTACAAGGAAATATGAATTACTCACACCCTAATAGACATGGTTTTACTAACCCTAGCTTGGAAGGAGTTGAAGCAGATATTTAGATGTTAGAAAGCTAAAACAAACCCCAGGACTAGTAGTCCTAAGTGGTGATAATAAAAGTTATGGCTACTGGAAATGCAACAGGTAAGTTGTCTTAACCATGTGGATGGAAAAAGATCACCTAGAGATGTAAAACCTCAGGCCTGCACTATGTATAGGCACAGGACCTCAATTCCTTAATTCTACTACCCACGAATTTGAACCAGTTAAGTATAGAAAATACTGAAACATTCATGCTTCAAGGCATATCTAAAACATTCCCCTCATCCTAATGTATGCCTACAACTCAGAGCATGCAGAATTCCCATGAGACCAATCATCGTTCCTGGTGATGACATTGCTTACAAGTCTAAATTATAAACTACTGTGTAAAAAAGGAAATGGAAATCAAAATGAGAAAATAGGTTCAAGAATGAATAGTGAACAAAGTAATTGATAAATATGTTGTTAAATCCTATTAAATATTTATTTAATATAATAACAATAACAATGGCTAATGGAAGTTGTGTAGGTAAAGAACCTAGAAGTTAAAAGCCAAATGACAATATGTGAGAGATTAATAATTGAATTTTGCTATTAAATGATCTAAAATCCTTCTGTTGTTTAGGAAAAGACTGGAAATATTAATTGAATTGAGATATTCAAAAATTAATTATGCTTAAGTGGCATTAATATAACCATATTGAGATTCACTCCTCTCTACATTCCTTGACTTCAACAGCCTTTCCCACTAACTTTCCACCAGATAAAGATCATTCCAAAAAATACATGACCAGAAAATTTATAGTGTGGATGCTATGTTTTGTAAAGCACAGCAATAGTATCAAGTGACATTATTAAAACTTAAGTGAAAAATTATCCTAGTACACATCAAGCCAAAAGGCTAGACCAGTGGATTAACATCCCAAATTATACTACGGCTAACTGAAATGTCCATTTTCCTATAATTAATGCTATCATTCCTCACTCAGTGTAGGCGAATAATGATCCTAGAAGAGATGAATTATGTTAGCAAGCTTTTAGGATGAGACATATGAGAGAAGTAGAAATGAGAGCGGTTATTTTTTTTAAGATTTTATTTATTTGACAGAGAGAGAGAGAGTACAAGTAGGCACGGTGGCAGGCAGAGGGAGAGGGAGAAGCAGGCCCCCATGGAGCAGGGAGCCCGACATGGGGCTTGATCCCAGGACCCAGCCCAAGGTAGCCGCTTAACCAACTGAGCCACCCAGGCTCCCTGAAATGAGAGCAATTATAACATTATAGATATATGGATGTGTATATGGATGTCTATGTACTTTGTAAATTTTTTCTGTTTGTGTGTTTGTGTGCATGTGCGCCCTTGGAAGGGGGGATTAAAAGTAATTCATTCATTCATTCATTCAGCAAATATTTATTGAGCACTTACCATAAGCCAAGAACTCTACTACATGCTGGCTATACAATGCTGAGCAAGATAATCATGGCTTTTATTTTCTAAGATAACAGTATAATAACACATGTCCAAGATGAGGAAAAGTAACTGAGACTTGCTGTGTTTGAGTACCATATGATAATTCCCTGACACAGAGAGGACATATTATTATTATTAAATGAAAATCAATTTTTTAGTTTGGTCATAGTAACTCATGACTTCAAAGTGTCACTATAAAGAGAAGGTCATAATAATAAAGAAGAGATAAAGGATAAGAAAGGGAGGCATTCCCCTTGAAGAAGAAATCCTCTTCTAGAATAAGACAAATTATACAACCATGTTGTGCAGCCTAGAAAATTTACTCTATAGATTTGGAAGTGTTTTAGGCTAGCAATGGACTTTGAAGAACATATAAGGAATAACACCAGCTGCCTATATAAGTAAATAAATACTTAAGTCAGAGAGAGAGGAGTGAATACTCCTAAACAGTTTATATCTGCAGAAAGACCCCAAACCCAAAAATGATAGATGTGGAAACTAAAGACTTACAGTTTTATTATATGGAAATATCCACCTTTCAGGAAATGGACAGAAATCTAATTAAAACTATTTTGTGATACTGAGAGGCTATGGAAGATGTAGAATTATTGTTTCTTTATGATGTTTCTCTTCAGCAAACTTTTCTTAAGTGACCAGGGTAAGTGTTCACTCAGTTGTTCATGAGCATACATATGGAATTTCTAGTTGTAAAATCTCCAAATATAGAAGTAAGCTTCTCCACTTACGAGTTAGCTCTGTAACCATTTCACCAATCATTTATTCATTTCCGAAAAATAAACTCCCAACATACATTAACAAACTGAAGTAAAGAAGACATTGATTTTTTTATACAAATAGTCATTAGTTACTAGATTATTTTTCCGTGTAGTACCTTACCAATTGTTACTGCTCAATTAATACCTAGCAATTTATTGTTGATTGTCAATTTGTTCATCTTATTTTTAACACATATTTATTTTAAGAAATACGTCCTAATTTACTTACCTGACTATATCTGTTTGGCTGCTGCTTTCCGATCTGGATCTAAAGGAGAGTGAAAGTAATGCTTCCAGGTTAATACTAAAAAAAATTTGCCTCCCTAACAAATGAGTGTTAGACTATTTTGTGACCTGCATTAACTCTTTTATACCACCAATTACCACTAATGAATAATTTTAAAAGACTACTAAATTAAGGTATGCAAATAAATAATATCCTCATTTACACATGTACCATGTCCATAAGGAATATAAATTTCAAATCCCCAATAGGGAAAGGAGCAAGAAAACAGATTAGTTTTTCTCCTTACTACTTCCCAGCATAGAATATATGCTTGATTTTGAATGCCTGATTCTGGCCTGCAGATCCCTCTAAATGCTTTACCCACTGATAAATTACAGGTCATGAGTTAAAACCCTCACTGACTTCTGGACAATCAGGCTGACTGGGCTGACAGGGCAGTTTTCCCCTTCTATTCCACACAGAGAAATAATGGGGAAAAAAAGAAACACACAAAATACTAACCAAAATTTAAGAGAAGAAAGGGAAATTTCCAATGATAGTTTAAAAAGAGAGAAAATTAAAAACATGAAAGGTAAATAGGAACTAAAGCTGAGTGAGTGACTCTCCAGAACTATGTGAAGTAGTCATCCACATTAGCCTATAAGGGGTTGAGACCTCCTGGAAAGCTGGAACTGACTTCCTTCTCTAAACTTGGAAGCCATGAAAGGAGGATAGTGAAAGCTGTTACCATTAGTCTTTGAGATGCAGCAGGGAAATTGCTTCAGAAGTGTAGATGGAAAAGGATCACCTAGAGACACAGAAACTCTAAGTGCTTAAAATGGTTTAGGGATGTGGATGTAAAAAATATCACATAGAGAAACAGGAACCTCAAGCCTTACCAACTTTAGGTTAGGATACCAGGACATGCTTCCTATGAATTTTAGATCTCCAGGTGTAACAAGTGTAAAAATTTATGACTTAGGAGGGTAATACACAAAATAATCTCCACAAGGAAGATTTTACAAAGCAGGACACACAGAAATCTCAGAAGATAATCGTCATTGCTTAAGGTGGCCTTATAATCAAAGAAAAAAGCCAATAAGCGTTATGTCCACAGCTGGAGAAAAGTAAAGAATTCATACATGAAAAATTATAGGCAACAAATAAACTTTAAAAAAGGATGTTTAGGATTTCCATAGAGATCAATAAAGGAGCAGAATCCATTAAACAAGAAATGAAAGAACTGAAAAAAAAGAAAAAGAATTGCTGATTTTTAAATTGTTTAGGGAAATCACCCAGAACACTTGATAAACAGAAATGTAATAAAATATAAAAAGACCAGTTAACAGTTGGGCATCTGCCTTCAGCTCAGATAATGATCTCAGGATCCTGGGATCGAGCCCCACGTTGTGCTCCCTGCTCAGCTGCACTCCCTGCTCAGTGGGGATGTCAGGTTCCCTGCTCAGCTGGGGGCCTGCTTCTCCCTCTTCCTCTGCCTGCCGCTCCACCTCCTTGTGTGCTCTCTCTCTCTGTATCAAATAAATAAATAAAATTTTAAAAAATAATAAAAAAATTAAAAGACCAGTTAAGAAACATGAAGGAATTCTGACACAGAGGATTTAGAATGAGGGAGGTTCAATATATGAAAAGAAAACATCTAGGACTTTTCCAAAATAGAAGAAAGTTGAGTCTTCTCACTGAAATAAAATACTGAGTCAGGTTCATGAGTTAAAAAAAAAAATCTCTACCAGAATATATTATAATGAAATAATAACTCTAGGGTCAAGAAAAAAACACAGAAGCTTTGTTAGGCAGAATTCCAGAGATTGCTTCCTAAGATCTCCATTCCTTGGTTATTCAAACACCCTTCTGAGTACTTAAAAGGTTTTGCAAGTGTAATTACAGCTCCAAATAAATTGATCTTAAAATACAAAGATTATTTTGGTTGGCCTGACCCAGTCAGGTGAGCCTTCAAAAGTAGAGTAGTCTGCTGCTGGCCAAAAAGGAAGTAAGAGGAAGTCAAAGCCTAAGGAAGACTGAATGCCCTTTTTTCTTTGAAAATGAAGGGAAGCACATGAGAAACAATGCAGACAGGCTCTGGGAGTAGGAAGGGGCCCCTAGCAGACAGCTCAGACCCATAGATGCAAGAAATTAGATTCTGCTTACAACCTGAATGAGCTAGGAACATAGCCTGGCCTTCAGGCTTTCTGGTCAGGCTTGTGACAACCCAGCCAAATCCACATGATTTATTTTATTTATTTATTTATTTTAAGATTTTATTTATTCAGAGAGAGAAAGGGAGAGCACCTGCGTGCATGCGCAAGTAGGGGGAAGAGCAGAGGGAGAGAAAAAGAATCTCAAGCAGACTCCCTGCTGAGCGCAGAGCCCAACCCAGGGTTTGATCACGACCCTGAGATCATGACCTGAGCTAAAATTAAGAGTCCAACGCTTTATTGAGTCACCCATGCACCCCATCCACTTGGATTTCTAATTTATAGATCTTTGACAGAATAAATGAATATTATTTTAAGTCACTAAGTGTGTGGTAATATGTTATGCAGCAATATAAATACAAAGCCTACTACAGATAAAACTCTTATTAACCATTAAAGAATAAATGAATAAACACACTAACAGTAGATTTATCATCATCATTAATAAATGCCAGACTACCCTGGCATACTTTCCAATAGCTGAGGCAAAATAAACTCTCAATTAGAAGTCCACACTATATAGACTCACATTCAACAGTGAAAATAAAATAAAGACAATTTCGGGTGGATAAGATAAACAGCTTACTACACAGAGACTCATTGATGGAAATTCTGAGAGATGTACTTCCCCAAAAGGGAGATTGAACATAAAAAGATGGAGCGAAAAAAGAATAGTGAGCAAATAAAGTGGTAAATATGTAGTGAAATCCTAGTATGTTTTGACTAAATACAATAATGACAATGATAATGATGACTTGTTTACAGCAGGTTAAAATTCAGGAGTAATTAAATACCAAATAATAATAATATGGAAGAGTGAAGAAAAGAGTATAGGAATAAATTGGCGAAGATCAATATGTTGTTAGAAACTGTAAGTGTTCGGGACGGCTGGGTGGCTCAGTCGGTTAAGCGTCTGCCTTCAGCTCAGGTCATGATCCCAGGGTCCTGGGATCGAGTCCCGCATCGGGCTCCCTGCTCC